CCATTTCCATAGCAGCATTCCAGGGTGTGACAGCTCAGCCTCTGTTTGTTGTCATCTATAGGTTTCTTTAATTACTCTCTTATTAAAAATTAATCTCTGTAAATACATCTTCCAGAGAAGAAAACACAGCTTTGCCTGTGCCCTTTTGGGGTGCACACAAATCCCTGCTCATGCCAGTTTATATGTCCTGTAACCCCAAACCACTGCCTGACCTCAAAGCCTGAGCATTGCAGGTGTTTCACTCCCTTTATTATACAGCACATTTGAAACCCATGGTTTTATGAGAAAAATTAAGGATTTGTGCTGTGAGCCTCATTTGATGCCCTGTGGATTTGTATATGATTTTTACAGCACAGACAGGCAATCCGGCTTTCCCTTTATGGGGGACATTAAGCCAAATTTCTGCCTCTGACTATTTTATGAAATGTGTAGGAAGTTAATATTTAGGGAGAGTTTGGCTCATTGATCCCGTTTGACAGATGGATACACAGATACAACCCAGACACAGGGACTGCATAAGCCTGAAATCCCTAAGGAGGGCAGCTAAAATGCATTTTGTGAGGAGCAGACTCACTTCTTCACAGGCAGTTGCAGAATTGCAGGTGGGATTTCACATGGACTGTGGAGCTTTGGCTTCAGCCAGGGGTGGGTTGTCTGTATAAATGGAAAATGAAATTACATTAAAAATGAGTGAAATGGGACAATCAAAGCATTCAGTAATTTATAATTAGGCTAAAAGAGGTGATTGCACACATCTAATATTCCTGCTCACTGAGCTATGGGCTCCTCTTTGTCTGGGATGGATGTTTGGAAAAAAACCCACCAGAACATATTTACAAATGTCCACTGATAAATTCGTTTTTTTAGATTTCCATTTTTTTTCCCTCTTCATCATAATCAATTCTTTCTTTCCTATGATGACTTGATTATAAATATGGCATTTTGGCCATAGGTGACAGGAGCACTCTCGTCCAGATGTGCTGGCTGCCTGTGAAGGGCTTGGCCATAGGATGCTGGTGGTTTAAAGTAACAGGAAACCTGAGGAATATCATAAATCAGCCTTTTCTGACTGGGTTTCTTGTACAGAGTATAACAAAATGTATTGAATCACTTAAGTATGTGTGAGCCTCCTGCCTACCAAATTACCAGGGGCTGCCAGTGGAAAACACACTAATTTGATGTTGGCCTCTGAAAGAAAATTGTTAAACGAAAATTAGGTTTCAGCATTTTAACACAAAAATCAACTTGGAGTTCAGTGTTAACAGGAGCCTAAGGATTTAACTAACTGCAAGGAAAACAAGGAGGGACAAAATTCCTGACTTACTAAACCCCAGCCCTGAGAAAAAAGCCTTTTACTTCTGGATCCCAACACGGCAGGAGGGACAAAGCCTGTACCAAAGGGTGGTTTTCTTTCTTTGCTGTCTCCTGCCATGGATTTCACAAGGTCATCGACTGACATTTTGTACTTTTCCACACTTCTATTGACTTTCATTAACAATAAACAGAAGATGCTGGGCCAAAGTCATCGAATCCGTGACAGAGTGTTCGAAAATATTGAGCTTCCCACATTCAAGGACATCAGAAGGGGCTGAGCTCAGAGATCCTCTCCCCTGGTGTCCTGGCAGGGCTCTTCAGGAGAGATATGAGAGCCACATCCGAGCTGTTCCCCTTCAAGGAGCTGTTTCCAACCCTAACTGGGGTTGAAGCAATCACATTCCAGGGATATTCCTGTGGATAAACCTGTCTATGGCAGTGCAGCTCCTTCCCTAACCAGCTCAAATAAGTTATTGCAAATTGATTCATCCCAGGCCTTAATTAAAAGACGCTCTGTTCTTATCATCCCATTAAAGAACACTTTAAAACCATTCATTAAGAGCAAAAATGTGGCCTGTTCTTCTCCCAGCTGTTCTCTGCTCTACTTAAATAAAATAATACTGAGAAACCAAATGTATTTCTTTTTCCGTCTCATAACCATTCTTTTGGGTTGATTTTGAAGCAATAATTCTAAAGGTCTTTCAAGCTCCTCTTTGTGACCATTTTGTGGAGACAGGCCTGGCCTGGCACTCTTGCTCCCTGAAGGCTGGCTCCCACATCAGTGCGTTAGCATCCACACCTTCTCAGATGCCCATGTTTTCCCTTTCAGAAACCACTCTGAAACAACTGTCAAATGTATAAATTAATGGGCTTGCAGTGGATTGGCCCAGGTTTCACCATTTCCTCCACGCTGGAGATGTTTTTTTGGTCAGCCTGGGACATTTTCTTTCCTGCAGAGTCTCTCCCTTTCTCCATGGCGTTGCTACGTGATCTGCTTGATCATGGACCTCCTCTTATACGGAATTCTTATGGCTGAGAGAGCAGTTCATACATTAAATATTAGAGAGATCTCCTGCTTGAAATGCATCCACAAAGCAGAGTCCTGAGCCATACTCCTTGTTCTCTTTTGAATCTATATTTTGGGTTCTGGCAGAGGCACAGGAGCAAGCGTGGCGTGCAGCGTTTCCCAGACTGTGTAGCTTGGCACCAGAAAATCTTTTCTTCGGAGTTCCAAACCTGTCAGGATGCTCTCTCAAAACTGCTCCACATTTCAGACGCGTAACACTAAAATGTCACTTTTGGAGCCCAAACCGGAGCGCCTTCAGCTCTCTGATTGGCAGAAAACTGACGGATAAGCTCCAGGGAATTTCTCCTACAGCTGTAAACTTTCAAAAATACTTTACTGCTGCAAAACCTATAGAGTGTGGTTTAAATGAACAATATGCCCTCTTCATACCTCAGCAGCAGCGAGAACACACTTCCCACTTTAGCATGAACAACCCAGGGGTTGATTTCTGAATTTTTTTCACCCACACGGAACAGGTTAAGCAGTTTTTAGCTCTTTTCTACCCATCACACAAAACAGACGATATTCCAGGCATCTCTGGGAAGAGGAAGAGATGATACAGCTGGTTGGATCCTGTTCTCTTCATGCTCAGGACAAGTTTAACCTCCTTGCATGCCTGACAGAAGACCAGATCACAGCCCTGTTCCATCCCTGGGATCCTGCAGAAAGCCCAGTTAAAATGTTTATGTGACATTGGGAGCTTGGCTCTGCTCTGCCCTTGTGGGCCAAATCCTAACATGACCCAGTGCTCTCTCCCATCAGCTGGAGGTTTGCCTGAATAAAGTAAAAGTTAAAAGTAAGCCATGCCTCCAGGTTTCAGGCCAGGGATTTCATTTCACAAAAGCTCCATGTGCTAGAAAAAGATACATCAGCTTCAGCCCGCTGCAGGGTTGGTTTTCTCTGGAACTTTTTGTGTTTTGACTTTTAAAAATCTGAAATATGAGGAGGAAGGTCTTCTCCTCCCACTCCTGGGGCTACACCCTTCCCTGAACAAACCTGTGCTCAGCAGGACCTGAATCCTTCCAGGAGAATTTACATCTCCAGGGGCCAGAGCTGTTGGCACTCTGCCCTAATGTCATCAAGGGAAAGTTGTCTCCTGAGATTACCAGGGTCATGTGCTGCTTTATTATCCAAAGAACCTGTGGTTGCCCCAGCCCTGGAAGTGTCCAAGGCCAGGTTGGATGGGCCTTGGAGCAACCTGGGGTAGTGAAAATTGTCCCTGCCCATGGCAGGGGGTTGGAACAAGATGAGCTTTAAAGTCCCTTCCAATTCTAACCATTCTGTGATCCTATAATTTTATTATTCTCTCTGCTTTTGAACAACTCCCTTTTATTCTGGTTTTATATTAACATTTACTCCTGTATTCTCTCCCTGCCCTTAATTCAAACCAAAGAAATGACTGATGGTCTTATAGGAACAATTCTGACAAGAAAATGGAAGGACTAAACAGTCCTGGAAAAGGACATGACAGCTCTCCATCTAAAAAAACAACTGTTGGGAAAAAAGGAGGCTTGGGGAAGAGCCTTGAGCACCAATTCCTGGGGAGGGTTGCATACCTTGGGTTTACTTGTTGCTTCCATGGTGTTCACATTTTCCCAGTCAGTTCTGGACATATATCCCATGGTTCCCAGTGTCAGTGGGCAGCTGGGACTGCTGTGAGACATCTGGGATGTGCTGGAGGACTCCCTGCCTCTTGCACAATTCATCAACCCCAGCCCAAACCAGCAGAGAGGCCAAGTTTGACCCCACTGCCTTTTTGAGCTGCTTTTGGTTGTAAGGGGTAAAAACGTGAGGTGGTATCGTAGAATCACAGGCTAATCAAAGTTGGAAAAGACCTCCCAAACCATCCAGCCCAACATTTGACCTATGACCACCATTCCCATTGCACCATATCCCAAAGTGTCATGTTCTTTGAATGCATCCAGGGATGGTGATTCCACCACTTCTCTGGGGAACATCACCCCTTTGGGGGGACCATGGGTGTGCAGGGATGATTGTGTGCATGGAGATGTCCCTGAGGGGTTGGGTGTAACCTGGATGTGTGGCGCCTCGTGGGGAGATGTGTCCCCTTCCATGGGTATTGGTTTCTCATCTCCCTCTCCCTGGCAATACTTGAAATAATTATGAACCCAGTGAAGACTAAAAATCAGCCAAATTCATCTGTGCTGTCGATCTTCTCCACAGATGCTCTGGAGGTAGCATTGAGTCTCTAACCAGAGCGTCTCAGTGCTTTAATTGTATCTTCTCCTTTGGGAACACAGGCAAAGGAGTGAGTAATCACCACGAGCCCATGAATGAACAGCGAGATTGTGCACGGAGAAACTGAGAGAGAGAGACCACACAGCGAGGAGTGGGAGCCCTGGGATTAGGAGCTGGGATTTCTTTTTCTCTGTGCACAGTCCACGAGGCCGTGCTGCCCTGTATGATCTCATGGAAGAAGTATATTTTCCATCTGCGAGGAACTCCTCGCAGTATCAGCTAAGTGCAAATTAGTAGGATCATTAGCCACTCTTTGAGGGAGACGGCTGCCAGGAAGCCTGGCTGTGTGTTTGAGGAAGAATTCCCAATGTCTGTGTGTCTGGAGGAGTATAAATTCTTCTATTCCCCTCCAGTAGCCTAATTAGATTTTACTCTGTTTATTAGAAGAGTTCAGTTGCTAGCTTAACATGAAATAAAATCTGCATGATTAAGAAGTCACGAGCAGTAAAGCTTACAGTGTGCTGGTAGAAATTTTCCTTTTGGATCAGCAGTGATGAAATCCACCAGGGTTAAATAAAGTGAAAGCAGGAGTGTGTTTAGATCCAGCAGCCAGGATCAAAACAGGGTGTCAGGGATGGAGGGAGGGTTGGGAAGGGGTGTCATGCCATTCAAATCGTACTTGAAATGAGACAGCTTCTGGGGAAATTGCATTTTTAACCACATAGCAGACTGGATCTTTACTGGAAAACAAGGATAGGAAAGATGCTCTTCCATTTGAAAATATATTCTTCAGCTCTCCTCACTTCCTTCACAACGTATCAAGAGTCAAGGGCTCTAAAAAAGTGGATTAATTTCTAAATCCAATTCTATTCAAATATCTTCAAGCCCTTCAGAAGTTGATGGCCTTAGTGATGTCAAACAGCCCCCAGCAGAAGCTGTATCCATTAATTTTTCTAAAGTGAAGCTTGACCTTGGAATAAAAATCCATTGAAGACAATTATATGCTTGGGGCTAGGATTAGATCAAAATGCTGAACAATCAAAAACCTTACAAGATGCTGAACAATCAAAAACCCCTGAGATTTCTGAAGCTCAGGATTTGCCTCTCAGTTTCTAGATCTCTGGTGGCACTGAATTCCAGGCGTGCTTCGCTCAAAATTTCCATGTAACATTTTAGGAATTGAAGGCTAGGGGAACCAGAAAAGAAAACAGATATTCTGTTTCCACTGACTTGGTTGGGAACAGCTCTGTCACACACGAAGGCATCAGCAATTTGCAACAGGGAGTTTTCCAAATGGTCTTTGAGTTGATGACCCCAAAATCCTACTGAAAAAAATGCCTCTGTATTCACTCACCTGTAGAATGAAAAAGACAATGCTTTTTCTTTCTCCCAAAAAATCTGAGAAAATAAACTCTAATCACAAATGAGTTTATTCTTTTGGAGGCCCGTCAAGAGCTGTGTCTAATGTCGTTTTTTTGGTGCTGGGCTGTACCTAAAACCTCTGAGTCCAGCCCACCCTGCTGGTAGGGGCAACCTGATCACAGACACGAAATCCTTCTCCTCGTGGACCATTTAAAAATCCATCAGGGTGCAAATCTGAGGATGAAAGTTGGAAGCCTGGTGTAGAAAGTAAGTTCTGGAGCCTAAAAAAAGAAAAGAGCAAGCTCAGAGGAGGTTAAGAGTCAAGGGAAGGAGACTGGAAACCTAAAACCTTCCCAAAAAAGCAAAGGGATTTGTGCAACCCAAGGGACTAAAAGTACATTTTGGCCCATGCTCTGGTTTTCCTCAGCACGTGCCCAGCCACAAGAGCCCATGTGGTTCTTCTGTTTTCCCAAGTCTTTTGAAATATAGATGCAAGAGTCTCGAATCCCTGCGCTTCCCTGCATTCCTGAAGAAATTGGCCCACCAAGTCGCTGTAATTCAGGATACCACCATACACCCACATGTAAGATTCCTTAACAACTATGCACATTTTTAGGCTCAAATATTTTAGAATTGTTTTCACTGTGCCTGAGCTGTAATTGGCTCAGCTTCCCAAGTGTTGGATCATCTAACTGGAGTGATTTTTGACTCCGAGCCCAGGCACCATATCAAAACATTTATCAATTAATCATAAAAAGTAACTAACATTGTTGTCCACCCAAGAAAAACTGTCACTTACAGACTCATGTATGTTATTCCTTATGAAAGAGCTGCTATATAGAAGTTGATTTCCTGCACAGACCAGGTGGAAAATCTGCTAAAGGCAGAGGTCAAATTTAGTTTAATTTTATACCCTTTGTTAAGAATGTTCTCCCTCTCTCTCTCTCTCTCTCAAAAAAAAAAAAAAAAAAAAAGAAGAAAAAAAAACCCACCCTTGTACTCCTTTCCAAGTATTCTAAAGTTAATTCATGTGGAAGAAAAAAAAAAAAAGATTAGGATAAAATTTCAAATATTAAATTCAAATGCAGGATTAATGAGTTTTATTTCAAAGCCCCAGAGGTTGTCTGGAATTTAGGACATTTTTTTAGTGGCAGACACGAGACACAGCCAGATGCAGTCGTGTTTTGGACCAGCTCAGCACATATTTAGCACCTTGAAGGAGAAATTTTATGTCTGTTTTGTAAAGCAAACATTTCAACTTTTCCAAAATCCCTTGTCCAAAAAATATTATTGTTGCACTGGATGAAGGAAGGGATTTAAACTAAGGCTGACTGGTTGCTCCAGCACAGAGAAATTGCCACCCCATCACCATCCCTGTAGGTGATGTAGATCTCCTGCCCCATGCAACAGATCCATAGAAATCATATCTTTTTTTTTTAATAACGTGGAGCAAGCTAGATTTAAAAAAACCCAATAAATAAAAGAATTGAACTATTTCCTGAAGCCAAATTCAAGACAGTCCTTGCGACACTCTGCAGGAAAGAGCTTTTTGCAGCTTGGTTTCTCCAAGAGCAGCAGGGAAGGGCTTGGCAGGGGTACAAACATCATTCTTCTCACGGCCTCCCAGCCAGCATGGCAAACCCGGGGCTCAGGGGCTGCTCCCCTTCACACCCTCTCCCTGAGGCAAAGCCCTTGGAGGCCAAACCCCTCCCTTTCATTAAAAGATTTCGTTATCATCCCAAAAAATTACCAGCCTTCAGCTTCCTCCCTGGCAGGGCTGCTCCCAAGAAGCCCCAAGTATCAGTCGTGTTTCAGGTCACCATAATTTGTTCAACCCAGAGAGAAATTCCTGTTTCCAGACAAGTGATGGCTTGGGAAGGGTTGGTAACACCTGTGGAGCTCAGCCTGCAGATCCAGAGCAGGTGGTTGGACCACAGTGGTTTTTGGGCAGCCAAAAGTGCTAAACATTGTCCTGATTGAAATCAAAGAATTAAATCCCCGTTGAGTTCAATGGAAGAGGAAGGCGGCCAACGTTGAGTTTAATATTTTATGTATTAGCATTGAAATCTTGATGGGAAAGAACTGAAACCTTGCAGTGAACACCTTCAAAAGCTGGAATCTTGTCTTAAAAGATTCCAATTATAGCAAGATGAAAACACTGGTGTTTCAGTTTCACATTCTGGCACTTGATCAAATGGACATACCACAGTCTGTAAATAGACCCAAAAACTGAAAACTCATTCCAATTAAATTCCTTCATTGCCTTAGGACTCTGACTCACCTATGGACAATCAATGGAATTAACATCAACAGATAATTAGGACTTGGTGATAGGCAAGCTTTAGGTTAATTATTCAATTTAGACAAATACTCACAAAATATTTTTTTCTTATTTATTTCTGGGATGAAAATCCTACAAGAACAGGTTTTCTCCCCTCCAGTACAGAACGAAAATAGCCCAAGGAAGCAGCCCCTTCTCACAGTACTTCTGGTTTTGGGGCCCCATCAAAATCAGTAAGTGTGAAAATACAACAAAATATTACACAAAGTAGCAAATACACTTTAAAAACTCCTTAAGTTTTCTCTGAGTTGCAGCTAAATTTTCTGGTCAACCCAAATTTTATCCCATCTGATTGCTCATAATCTCATCCCATCTCTAATCCTCTTCAACAAATGGAAGTTTGCTTTAAATCTTCATTTCCAAATGGATTTCTTGGCCAGGATGGGACAAGGTGGATGCAATTGTCAGGAATTTCAGGTTATAACTGCCTGGAGCTGTAATGAGTGCAGCTCTGAGCCACCACCAAAGGAAGGGAAAAGCTGTGCAAGGCAGTGGCAGCTGCTCTGACTGCAACCACATTTCACTCACATGAGGCCAGTGCCTCTTTTGGTCTTTCTCACCTCTGAACTCAACCCTTGACATGGCTTTAAGCTGAAAAGTATCTTAAAAATCAAAAATTTCACCAAAATTTGCTGGAGACTCGGTGTTTAACAGACAAAGCCTTGCTATATATTATCAGTGGCACAAGTTTATGCTTCATTTTGGATACAATAAGAAATGTTTTATCCCTAGACACTGCTTTGCACATGTTCAATCTTTATCAAAACTGTACAGTTTGACACTTGTGTCCAAAATTCGCCCCCAAATCAGTTGCATCATTCTGACCCATTGTCCAAGGCCAGCTAAACTGGAGGCTGAGCCAAGGGACACGTTATCCAAAGGAAAACAGCAATAGCTGAAATGTATCTGAGGCACCAACAGGATGTGAACCCTCCACAACATCTTCCTTTGCTGAAAACCAGTCAGCCCAGCACAATGAAAATATTGGGCTGTGCTGCCACCTGCACCACAAGCACCTCCCAAGGCTGCTTGGCTGGAGAGATTGGATGGTTTTCCATTCTTGGCCTGGCCTCTGGTGTGAAACATTCCCACAGCTGGATGTGAACAAAGAATGAGGCATCCCAGTGATGGACAAGAGGCTCGAGCCAAGCCCTGGCCTGGGTGGAAGCCTGTTCCATGACCAGTTGCTCCACATCTGGCTCGCTGCTTGGGGATGTCCTACATGGAGCAGTGAGGTTTTTATGGGCACTCCATCTATCATTGCATCCAGGAGGAAAAAAAAAAAAACTAAAAAAAAAGAACAGCAAAAAGAACAAAATGAAGATTTTTATGGGCCTAGGAGGAGCTAACCTGGAAATATCACTGGCACAGATAGAGCTGTTGAGCAGACAATAGCACTGGGGTATTGCCACGGGTTTGTTTACCCAAACGTGGCCGTCCTCGCTGGGAGGTCCCCACCCTCCTGGTCCCCAGCCTGGGGAGCTGGTGGAACACAAGCTGTGATTGCCATGCTGACAGCTTTATTGCCTCCCTGACCGTGCTATTTTTAAGGGAACAGGTTATCTCCGTGATGTAATCAGGTCTTCCTCGTGCTGTGAGGTCATTCCCACTGCAGGGAGCTGGAGCCTTTGGTCCTCGCTCGCTTGGAATGCCAAGTCAGCTGCTCCAGGTGTCCAGGAGCTTATGGCACTGGTTGGACTGAAAGCTACTGAGACTGATTCTCTTTTCTCAAATCACCCAGAAAATACAGCTTTGGTTCCCTCCTTCAAACCTAGCTTATCCAAATTGATAGAGAGAATTTAAATATCCAAATTTTGAGACTTCAAGCTTAAAAGAGCATCAGTGAGATTAACTAAATATGTGTTTGTGTTAGGAGTGGGAAATTGAAAGTGCAAGTTATAGTCCATAAGTGATTATCTCGAATAAGTGCAGTAAATAAATGATAAAAATAAGTTGTTGCACTTCCATTTTGAAGGTTCTCGTTGCAAAGCAAGTGGACAGAAAGGCCAGACTTTCACTTAGGGAAAATAAAATTTCCCAGCAGGCTGTGTTCTACACAGTTCTTAAAGGCTTTATGTCAAAATTATTTCTCTGGAGAAGGCACAGCCATTATTTCAGAAAATGCTAAAAACTTGGGTCAAATTAGACAAGCATTTACTGATTTAGTAACTACTTATGCAACATTATCTGCATGTAAGCTATTTACTCAGAATGACATGACTTAAAAGCTCTCTCCTATTCTAAAATTCCTGTCTCCTGTCCTAATTCCATGAGACACTCACAGCAAAGGTTAGATGAGCTCTGTTAGGAAGCATTTTTCCAGCTCCCATGGGACTAGAACACCTTTTCCAGTCTCAGCAGGAATGAGGAAATGAAAAAAAAATTAGAAATCAAATCCTGTTTGAACTAATGGAGTCCAAACACAGCCAAAGGTATCCAAGGTGCTCCAAAGAATTTCCCTGGCCCCTATTCTTGTTGAGCCCAGTGTCAAGTTGGTTGTGGAACCCAACCACAAAACTGCCTGGAAGGTTTCCTTGGCTTCTCCCAGCCTGCAGGCGAACCGTGAGGGATGCATGAAAGGAAATGGTGGTCTTGTCCTCCACAGTTCTGAGGGAATGGGAAAATGGGCTTATGGGCTATTAAATCCCTCTGTTCCTTCACAGGTGGTGGAATGGGGACATCTGAGACCTCCAGAGAGTGGCCAGGGGGTGTAACATGCACAGGGACATGGTTCCCATAACGTCACAGCAAGAAGAGGTGAGCTGGAGCAAAAATAAATTCACTTTCTCACCAAACACCCTCCTATTTTTCCGAGTCCAGATAAGCAAATTAAAAATGATGTCATGGCTCCCCCAGGACACTGCAACACGCTGCCATTTGTCCAGCCAGAGTACAACTCCTATTAGTGTGATATAACCCAGTAGTTGGGAACTCAATAGGAAAAACAGAGCTGGAATTTAATAAAAAAACCTCTACAGCTTTTAACTCATTGCCCTCAACACGCAGAGCTACTGTAAGTGAGTGCCTCAACATGAACACTCCGAAGACCAAAGAATTAAAGTAAATGCAATCAGCAGATTACTAAATACCAATGGGAAATTTAGAGCTCTAGAGCAAAATCCCAGAGCATTAAAGGATTTACTGCTTGGCATTGATGAGAAGCAAGTCTTTGGATTTCCATTTCTATCCTTAATTAGCAACTAAGTTTTTTTTTAGTCGAAACTAAGTCACAAAAGATAACACACCCTAAAAGAAAATAGATAGCAGTGCAATAATCTTCATAAAATGTCTTATTAAAAATTCAAAAAAAAAATAACAGATTCAAATGGAAAATCAATTTCCAGGACTTCCATTTCCTTTTGTTTTCTTGTCTTCCCACCCATGCTCAGCTGTTTTCTAATAACATTCAGGTCTTTGCTAACGAGGTTACCAAGGGTGGTAACAAAGATAGCATTTGAAACCCAAAAGGGAGGCTCCCTTTTAGAAGGGACATTTCAGGAGTGTTCTTGCTCCTTCACAGCTTGGGGTTTGAAGGTTTGCTGTCTCCCTGCCCAGCTCCCACTGGAAGAAGGATCTAAAATGGATGAGCCATGCTCTGCATGGCCTCAGCTCTGAGCAAAGCAGCCGTGTGAAATTGAGTGGGTTTTATGGATTCTCTGGGACTGGGGAAAGACAAGGATTTTCTGGTAAAGGAGGAGATCCCTGGCTGGTTCTCCTCTGATCCCACCTACCATTTGTACCTTTGGTGATGTGCTCCCAGCAGCTGCTTTGGCAGGGTTTGCTGGAGCATTCCTGCTTTGTGGAGCGTTCCCAGCTGCCAAGATGCACCAGGGATTTGATGTCTGGTCTCCTGACCTGGGATACAGACTCCCACGGCACCATTTCGAGCACAGCTCCTGCCATGGCTTCAAGAAAAGCTGTAAAATATAAGTAGCTGCTTCAGAACAAGAGAAAAGTGAAAGTCAGAGTTAAATCTGAAGAAATCTGTAATAACGAGGCCAGTCCCAAACAAGCCTCATGCTTCAGTGAAAAGGAGGTTGAGTTCCTGCTGTTAATCACTCCCTACTTTTCTCCCTTTACCAGAGAGCCCAAAAATGAATCTGGTCCACATAAAAATTAACTATGGCGTGATCTGAGTGTGATCCAGATCCACAGATCCATCCCTCCACAGCTTCACAGTCCAGGATTCAAATCAAATCCAGCTCCAGCATCAAATAGGTCATCTAGGCCTGTGAATCATCTAAGGACAAAAACTCCACTAAATTAAATCTACCTTAGAAGTTGCCAAGTTGGTATAAAGCACTCAAAAATTATTGGATTGTTTAAGAGTTACTTATTTTTAAAATTCGACTTTGAATTATTTTTATTTGTCTTGTAGTTTGCAGTCCTTTGGGTTGAAAACCGGACACTTGTTGGACATTGACAAAGTTTTCATTGTGTGCTAAAATAATTATTTATGCATCTGAAAATGCATTGATCATAGTCATAAAATTGCAGGAGCTGATTCTTAAAATAAATTATCAAACACAATGCAAAGTAAAGTTTTCATTCACAAAAAAATAAAAAGGAAAAAAATTCCAAGACCCAGTCACAACCAAAGAAAGCAAAACCCCAGAACCCTTTTAATGAATTACTTAACAAGTGGTGATACTTCAATTTAGGGTCATTCCTTACACCCTGATTCTCAAGGTGAATCCCGAATGAATACAAACTGGAGGCACTGATGGATATCTGCCCATCCCAGCCAGCAGCCCCCTTTATCTCAGAGCCTGAGCAGAGGCTTTAATGTATTTTGGGTTTGTGACACCTCTGCTATGGCCGGGAGCGACAGCGACAGCGGGAATGTGATGGACCAGCATCCCAGCATGGGGACTGGGAGCGTGCCCTGCACTAGCTCGGGGAGAAGAGACAAAGCAACTCCCTCCCTTGTTTTTTTAATTTGTTAAAATAACATCTCCATATTCCCAGGGGCAAATGTCAGGAATAATTGCATGCAAATTGCACTGGAGTCATGCTGAGGCACCCAGTGCCACCCAAGGGCTCCTGAAGGGTTAAAATCGAGGAGTTCACTTAATTTACAACTGGAGACCTTTATCGTCTCCCGGTGACTTTGAGGGCTCACATTTCGAACTTAATTACTTGTTCAGCAATCAGGCCGGCGAGAGATAGATGTGTTCTGTGTTTAGCCCTCGCAGCTGTGAATTGTTTATTTACTTATCGTCAGGCCGGGAATGGCTGCAATTTAAAGGTTCAGGTCTCTGCTACCCTGAGTGGGGAAGGTCTTCCTTTAAACACTTCCATATTCCGCGGTGGAATTCCGCTGGAGATGCCCATCTTCTCCTCCTGTTCCGGGTAGTGGGGCCAGCAGGTGTTCCTGGTTAGTGGCCACTGGGGTTATTCACGCTGAGCAGTCGCTGCCAAGTTCACAATCGGGACGAGGGATCTGCGGAGATAAATTCGGGAAGGTGAAAAGCGGGCCAAGGAGATGAGGAGAGATGAATTCCAGTGAGCCGGCTTCCGTGGAATGGCTCGATCCCTATCTGGGATGGCTTCAAACGGTGGCTGCCAGCAATTCCTAAGCCAAATGGTGTAATTACAATTTCAGCTGTCAAATGGTGACCAGATGGCTTTATCTTTCACACCAGAGGCCTGAGAAGTTGGTTAGGTGTGACCTTTCCACATACCAATCCACCTGCAGAGCACACGAGGCCTGCGAGTGCCGGAATTCCCGACGTTCCCAACGTGTCCATCCTCGGCTTTGATGACTTTGGAGCAAAGCTGTGTAAAATCAACAGCATCGATTTTCACAGGGTCGCATCCCCCTCAAATGCAGCACCACTGTCAGAATCTGAGATATTGATGATTCTGAGATTGTAGAAAGTCTCTGTCTTTCTGCCCCACTGCCAAAGAAGAAGCCATAATTCTTCTGTGCTGGTTTCAAGGTTGTTTATTCTGTTTATCTCTAACATGTTCTGCTGCCCTGCCGCAGCTCTGTCCTGCAGGGCAGCGTGTGGGGCTCTGCCCTCAGTGGGATGTTACAAACATTAAATACCAGAAACTACCTGTGCTGGATTTACAATAATGTGCCAATATCTGTCACCTACGTTGGACAGTGTGTCCCCAGCCTGAACCAACAGAAAAATGCCAACACCACAGTGAAACATGGAAGGCATGAAGAAGGAGAAAAAGGACAAGGCACACCCAATTTCCTCCATCTTGTCCCCTTTGAACCCCTAATCTAGAATCCTAAAATTTTACTTTTGCACCCGTGTCACACTTAATTATTACTCATATCAAACACTCAGAGCTTGTAATTCATCCTGTAAGATTGAAAACTCTCTTCCATGGACAGAGATCACCGACAGTGTCTCTGGGGGCTCTGTCCAGGGGGGTTCCTGACCCCTGCCATGGTCCCAGGGCAGCCAGAGGGAAGCTCTGGATTCCCACACACCACCAGCAATGTTGTGGGACCACTTGGCGGGGTTGGAGTTGTTGGGGATTGGAACTAAATGATCCTTAATGTCCTTTCAAACCCAAAATCTGTATTTCAGCACACGGGGGTCACTGGGTTACAAAGTGGGGATGATCCCTGTTATTCTCTTAGGGCACACACAGACTTCCCATCCACCCAGGAAAGAAAGAGTTGTGCAGAGGAAGAAAATCTCCGTTCCATAGTTGGCCAGAAAAGGATGTTTCAGATGGGAAATTGGTGAAATTCCCTGCCAAGAGGGAGAAGCCAAAATGGTCTGACCATCCAAGCATCGCTGCTGTCCTTGTGATGTGCCTGATGGAGGAGAGGATGGTGGTGGAAGCAGGCTGGACACACCCCCTAAAAAAACCCCAGTGTAGCTCCAGGAGAGGGGCTCTGGGCAAAGCCCAGCCCAAATTCCCAGCAGCAGCAGCTCGGGAGGTCAGGGGCTGCCTGGGGAATGTCCCATGACCCATTCCACTGCCACAGGCAGCTCTCTCCAGCCTCCAGGAAAGCTCAGGCTGTTCCCACACAGAGCTTTGCAGCAGGTCTCAGATTAGAGCAGTATTAAAAGTAAGGACTTTGGGGTCGATATTAACCCCAGAGAATTCTGCCTGTGGGCAGGTGGAGGGGCTGACAGACATCAACAGCAGCAGCAGAGTTTCTGCCTCCAGGCTCTCGCAGCAGCCAACTGCTTTTGATTTAAAGAAAAGGCTTTCCTGTCCTGTGCTCTTATGAGAAACACACTTTTCTCCCAGTCCCAAGGTTATTTCTATCCCACAGATGAGGAGAAGGGGATGCAAGCTGACAGGGAACATGGCAAGGAAGTCTAAAGCACAGAGGTGCTGCTTCCTAATATTTTTTTGTATTATCATCACCGCTGCTGTGGGAACGAATTACCAATCTCTGCAAGCGATCATTAAAGCGGTTTAATAATAATATGTAAACAACAAAAAAAAAAATAGATCGGAACTTTCTAGTCTTAAAGAATTGTAAGAGATATTATTGGACATATACAAAGAAACAAAAATGCAGATAATTCCAGGGCGATTTGGATTTTCTCAGAAACAGATCTACAATCATATGTGTCACTTCAGTAAAGGCAAAGAAAAGAGCCTCCATAGGCATAATTGAATTAGAGAAAATCCTGGAATTTGATGAGAGATAAAGTTACCACTAATTCTCTTAAGAAAAAAAAAAAAAGAAAAGAAAAGAAAAGAAAAAAAGGGGATGAAATTAAAATGTCAAAAGAGCAGTGAGCTGCTAAATTGAACCCTCAGTTTTGGGTGCGTTCACGGCTGTGTTGGCAGCACATCCACGGACACGCCGAAGTAAAACCACTGCAAATGAGAAAGAAAACACCCAAAATGCAACTTTGAAAAGGACTGAAATGAACAGCACAGAAATGGTTCAGGATTTCCAAAAGAGAATTGCAAGGCAAAAACAAATACAAGCAAAACCTGGACCAGTAACAGCCCCAAATGTGCCGGGGTTGGGATGGATTCTGTGGGCTGGATTGATGAGAGCGGGACCAAAGACATGGACCCAGCCAGATCCCAGGCTGGCCTTCACCCACTGAGACAGAAAATGGGAGAAATATTTGTTTCTTCCAGTATTTTGCTATTTTTCTCCTTTGTTTTAATTTTCACTTCTGCTGACGTTGAGTTGACAGCAGCAGCGCGGGGGTTCGGGGCTGCAGCCTCAGCTCAGGGAAATGGGGATTTTCAGAGAACTATGAAAATTTAACTCTGATGAACCTTGCCCTGATTTAACAGACATAAAATGACAGAAAGGAACTTCTCAGGTTCTCAGGCCAGCAGAGGAATTATTGCAAAAAACCTGTGACAGAGAGATTAAAGGCAATGGGCACAAGGAGCTGTTTCGAAGGGGAGCGCAGAGGCAGAAGGGAGGGGATCCCTTGTGCTGCCTCCCCAGCCCTGCTGCTTCACTCAGCCTTGTCCCACACTTAAAGGGAAGCAAAACAGTTCTCTGAGAGCCTGAGGGAACCCAAAGAACAAGGTGGGCTGGGAAGGATGTGCCAGGATTCTGCTTGGTACCAGAATGATGCCCCAGATATAGAGTACAGAGAGGGAGGGAGGCCCCCACATGATGTGACTCTGGTATTATTTTTGCCCCAAATACACAAAACGCTAGTTACAGCAATCAGCTAGGAATAATATCAGTCCCAAATGCCTTTTTTAACCCAGGAATCTGCAGCAGAGGACTGGAGAGATGCACTTCTTCCAGTGATGGCGATGCTTTTGCAGCGCTGGAACCTGGGAGCAAAGAAAATCCCATTTTCTGACTGTTGCTCATCACCCCTCTGACATTTCAAAGAGATTTTATCTGTCTGGCATGGAAGAGTTCCCAAACTGTTTTTATTAAGAGGACTTTTGTATGCCAGCAATGAATATTACTCTATTACTGAAAGGAATCAAAAGCTAAAGTGCCTGCGTGTACAGTTAATCTATCCAAACAGAAAATGTTTCTTAAAAAATTACGGCACTATTTTTATAACAAACCTCAGCCAAACTCACAACTGAATAAATGGAATGTGTTCCTTTAAAACCAATTTATTTTTTTGATCATGGGCAAGAAATCCTCTCCTTGCTTTCATTCATCAAGTAATGCTTCACCTTCTCCCCATATTTGTGTGAAGAGATTTGTCTGTGATGGGATTTTTGCTTTGGGGACATCAGATTGAAACATTCCCAAGGCTGGAAGGTGGATGTGAGCATCACAGCCAACCTGTGGTTTCTATCTCTTTTTAACAAAACCATGAACAAGGCAAGGAAATACCTCAAAGGGGCCAGGAGTGATGGGGGAGAGCCACCCTAAAGCCCTGATCCCCCTAAATAAAGCATCAGGTCAGAGCCATAGGAATTTCTATAGGATTACACAAGGCATCTATTCCTGCAAAACCACAGAGCCGCTGTCTTTATTTAAAACTGGCCTGCACACTCATTACCACAACCTAATTATCATTAGGGTTGCTTAAAGCAGAGTTTGGCCCTTCGTGGTTTTTACTCCCTAATTATTATTACGGTTTTATTTGAACTAGAAGCCCGTGCAGAGCTCTCCCTGCAGTTTTTTCAGTATTTATTTAGACTCGCACCACTGCCCAAGACCACAATTTGAATGTCCCAAGCCTCATCCCACGATCTCTTACTCCCCAAAATGCTGCGCATTTTTGATGCCGTCACGAAGAGGAGTCGAACCAAACAATTTGCAGCCTGCGAGGACCCTAAAATGTGGTTAAACATTCCTGGAGGAGGCGGTGATGAATAGGCAAGCAGGGTAACCTGACCCCCAGGGCTTAAACATCCCCTTTTTGTTTGTTTGCTTGTTTTTTCACTCTTGAGCTTTCCAGGAGTTTCAGCCGCGAGCAAACCCGGGGGCCTTAAAAAAAAAAAAAAAAACAAACAAAACAACAAAAAAAAACCCCAAAAAAACCAACAACACCAAAACCAAAACAAAACAAAGCCACGAAAATGCTTTAATTCCTACAATTCGCTCATTTGTGTACGTGGTTTTTAAGAGGGGGTGATTCCCGCTGCAAGCTAGAGAAAAAAAAAAAAATTTAATTTGAATTTCTCCCCTCTGGTTTTCGTGGTGAAAGAGAAACTCTGTGTGGGTGCTGCGCCATCCCCGAGTGTTTGAACGCTGCTTTTTCTGCTGCCCTGCTAAAGGTCAAAAGCAGGTAATGGATGTCGAAATTTCCACACACTGGGGTAAGCTCGGAGCTTGTTGACTTTAATATCGGTTTTCTTCCACCGCGGGGAAAAAAGTAAAAAAAAAAGAAAAAAAAAAGAAAAAGAAAAAAAAAATAATTCCAGCTCCTCATTGATTTTTCATGGAAATTCACCAATTTCTCCTTGTTTAAGCTCTGGTCTCTGATTTCTCCTTGGTTATAATTTTGCTCTGCCTCCCAGCTGAAGCCCGGCTTTGTTTCAGCTCAGGTTGGTGATATATTTATTCTGCACAAGGAAAAATCCCGGTGTGCTGGAGGTTGGTGCTGAATCACAGGGGATACCTCAGAAAAAAAAAAAAAAAACAAACCAAACAAAGCCCTCGGGAAAACCCACCTTGAGAAAAAAGAGAAAAAGCAGAAGAAAAAGTGGGAGAAAAAATGGGAATGTGCCGGTGCCTTTGTGCGGAGGAGAATAAGGAGATCAGCGTGGCAGAATTCAGCAGAGTGAGATTGGAAATGGGAATTTTTGGGAATCCCGGGGAGGGGTTGGTTGGGTTGGGTTCAGCTCCGTGGCCTCAGCCCTTCTGCTCTCAGCTCCAAACAAGAAACAAGGCTGGGAAAATTTGGATTTCTCCAACTTTCTGTCCAAAATGGATGGAATGAGCCATGGAAATTCATGGTTGTGTGTGTGTGTGTGTGTGTCCCGGTTGTGCAAGGGGCAAAAATGACCTTTAAAACCCCAACATTTCTGTTATCGTTGTTGTTAACTGCAGCAGAGCTGGATTGGGATGTTCCCAACGGGCTCCCAAGAGTTGAACCACTTTTTCTTTCAGATAAATCAACATAAATGTTGGTATTCATTGACCCTCTTGAGCTCTTGTGGATATTACAGGGACAATATTTAAAACTTAGGTTTGAAAGTATATCTGGGACACGAACAGTCATTTTGTTATTGCTGGAGTCTAGAAAACAAAGCTATTAAAATGATGCAGTTTTACTAATTATCATTGAGTCACACTTTGAAATAAAACTATGTGCCCATTGTATTAAAAAAAAAATTTAAAAATATTTGAACACATCAGTTATGAAAATAAGCAGAATATTCCCTCCCATGGGAGTGGAGGAAGGGTCATTAAAAGAAGTTCAACACATCAGCCTTTGAGCATTTGCTCTGAAAATTAATGCAGGTAAAGAAAGGCACAGTAAGGAATGCAAAAAATGGGCAAAAATTGTACTATGAGAAAATTCTGTAGCCTAAAATAATTTTTTTACTAGATAAAACAAAATAAATGCTTTAACATATATTTTGCCATTAGTACATGTATATATTTAATTATATATAAATCTTCAGGTAACATTTCTGATACAGTTTGTCGGTCTTAAATCTGACAAATAACACTGGTTTTATTATTAAATAATAATAATAAGGAGGTTTTAAATAATCAGGAGATTTTAAAGTCATTCAAACACAGTGCCTTGAAATCAAAATCCACATTTAATTCTTTAGAGCGTTTTTCCCAAATGAGGATAAATGTGGAGTCTGCCCTTTAAATTAAATGACAGCAAGAAGTCAGGGGGGGAAAAAACCAAAACAAACCAAACAATAGCAAACAGTTTGAGATTGATTCTGCTCATTGTAAATAAGGGGCTGGCTCTAATTTAGTTAATGAGATTTCACCAGTGTAAATTGAATTAGCTTCATTATCCCATGATTAAAACGATCTCTATCATTGCAAAAGAAAAAATAATTAACAGTTAAAGGACTTTTTTTTCTAATTTAACAAAAACTGCTGGAGTGAGATGTAAAAGCAGAACTCTCACAAAGTAACTGTGAGCAGAAAATTATTTTTAAAAATTTATTAATACCGACTTTTATTTATAATTAAAACGTAATTATTTTTACTATTTCAAACTGCATCCATGACTCACCAGAACAAAAGTACTTCGTGCTAGACACATAAAAAACGGGGTTTTTTCTTCTTATTTTAATCTTTTCTTTGCTCAGCAGACAACACCCCCACAAAATGTGGGTAAAATTCCTTTGCCCATGAGTGTAGCAAGGCACGGCTGAGTTCTCAGGTGTTTGAAACTCTAGAAAACAGGGAAGGGCTGTGTATAATCTGCTCTACATTTTACATTATTATATATATATATATAATGTATATCTGCTCTGCATTATACGATGTTATCTATACATTACATTGTTACGGGTTTTAAGCGCTGCACAACAACTAATTCTCTTGATAACGCCTTTCACTGACTAAAAAGCAGCGACATCGCCCCGCGAGGGGACAGGGGAGGGTCGCTTTCCCCCGATAAAACCATTAAACCTCCTGTTGATAAAGCAAATTATGCCGCGAGTATCCACCAAGTGCTGAAAAGATAAATACGCTCCCAAAGGCGAGGCGGAGGCGGCTCTGCCTGTCCCAGCTCCAAACTTCCAATGCCACCTAATGGAGAGCCCGCACCTCGCAGCGATCCCTCCCGGCCTTTTCCAGCCCCAAAAACATCTCCACAAAGCCGAGGCTGCCGCGGTGGGATCCCAAAAATCCCGCGGCAAATGTTGGGATTGCCTGGCTGGATGCCGGCGCTCCAAAGGAGAGGCTCACGGTGCCTAAAATGGGATTTTGGGGCTTGTTTGGGGTGCACGGCTCGGATTTGGGATCTCCACGGGAATCCCGAGCTCCTGACAGGAGGAAAACGCTGGTCCGGGTGTAGAGGGATGTGAAAGTGGCTCGGGATGTGAAGAAAATAACCCGGGATTAGCAAATAACCCGGGATTAGCAAATAACCCGGGATGTGAAAATAGCTCGGGATGTGAAAACGACTCGGGATGTGAAGAAAATAACCCGGGATTAGCAAATAACCCGGGATGTGAAAATCGCCCGGGATGTGAAAATGACTCGGGATGTGAAAATGACTCGGGATGTGAAGAAAATAACCCGGGATTAGCAAATAACCCGGGATGGGCAAATTACCCGGGATGTGAAAATAGCCCGGGATGTGAAAATGACTCGGGATGTGAAGAAAATAACCCGGGATTAGCAAATAACCCGGGATGTGAAAATGGCTCGGGATGGGCAAATAACCCGGGCTGCACAAATAACCCGGGATGGGCAAATAACCCGGGATGTGAAAATAGCCCGGGATGTGAAAATGGCTCGGGATGGGCAAATAACCCGGGATGCACAAATAACCCAGGATGTGAAAATAGCCCAGGATGCACAAATAACCCGGGATGTGTACATGGCCCAGGATGCACAAATAACCCGGGATGTGTAAATAGCCCAGGATGCACAAATAACCCGGGATGTGTACATGGCCCAGGATGCACAAATAACCCGGGATGCGCAAGTAGCTCGGGATGCGCAAATCCCCCTCCCTGAGGCGTGGCCGGGGCACTCTGTGCGTCCTCCCCGTGGCTCGGCTCACACGTGGGGACACCGAGAGCGGGGACAGACTGAGGAGAAATCTGTCCTCGCCTCCAGCTGCCCTTTCCGTGTCCCGTCTGATCCCTGCAGCACATCCTGCCCTCTCTCCGTGCCTGCACATCCCCGGGAATGCCCCCACACCCACCGGGCAGCACTGCACACACGCAGGTTACCCACGCACAAAGATAAATACGGGGCCAAACCGCTTTTAGGAACAGCTTTTAGGACTGAATCCCAAAGCAGGCCCTAATTTGAAGATGGTTTGGGATTTCCCATTGAAGGTGGTTGGAGATTTCCCGGTGAAACACCCCTGGAATCCAGCAAGCAGTTGGGATTTTGCTCTGCCCTGTCCCCCTTGCAGCTGAACAAAGCCCCATTCTCTCTGACCCGAATATATTTTCTTTACACCATACCTAGGATTTCCCTCTGATTTATTTCTCTAGGGCTGGATCCAAAGCTCCCGCTGATTTCGGGAGGTTTGGGATAGGGTCCTGCACTTCTGCAGCTCCAGACCTGCTGCAGCCAGGGCTGAATCTGTGCTGATTTGAATGATAAATATCGGCCAACACAAAAAAAAGTTTAGAAAGGGGGCTTGAAGGGGGGAGGAAAAACATTAATTTTCCATAAAGCTTGCTCTGCTCATGCCAAGCTTTACACCCCGTCACCACCAATTTTAAGCACACTGTGGTATGGCAAGATTAGGGATAAAAGTTAACTATGAGAAAGATAGAAATTTAAGATTTACAGGTTTTTAATTGCACAGATCTTCTACAGTTTTTACACTTCAAGCAGCGGGATTAAAGACAGTAGAGCTGGGAATAAAAGGCAAAGGGAGCTTTGCTGCTCTCAAAAAAAAAAAAAATTAAATAATAGTAAACCAAGCTCAGACAAACCCCACAACAAAAAACCCGGAGCAAATAAAGGCGAATGGAACAGATTTCCATGTTTACTTTTCTTTCTGCAGTTGGATCCCTTGTCGTAGCCACAAGAACTGCAAGCATAAGGTACGGAATGGGAAATAAAAGACAGGAAAAAGAAACAAAAATTAAAAAAAAAAAAAAAAAAAAGCAATTTAAGGAGAAGGAAGCAAACCCAAGAGCTGCGCAGAGCCGCTTCCCCTGCTCGGGCTCCGTCCCTGGAGCGGCGGAGGCAGAGCTGCCAGCGGGGACGGGGACACCGCAAACCCCGACTGGCAGGGGAGGAAGAGGAAGAGGAGGAGGGTTTGGGGACGGGGAGAGAGAAGAGAAAAAGTGCAGTACATACAGCTCGATGCGTCCTCCAGCCCCCAGCCTCCGCTTCTCTCTCTCTCTCTCTCCCTCTTAAGTCAAAAAGGAAATGCGGGTCTTTTTTTTTTTTTTTCTTTCTTTCTTTTTTTTTTTTTTTTTTCGGAATCAGAAAACGAACCATCAGGAAGTTGGCAAAACCTCTGACTAAACAATCAATGGAGGAAATGCAACAAATTCGCTTTTTTGGCGGCGGGGGAGCGAGGGCGGGCGGCGCGCAGGCAGCGCGGGGAGCTGAGCTCCGCTCCCAGCGCTCCGAGCCGCAATTCCCTCACATTCCCGAGGTTTTTTTTACCCCATGGACACCCATTCTCTGCGGCCAGGTACGCGGGGCAGGGATGGGCTCCTGTGTCCCCCACTCCCGGCAGAAATGCCCACATCTGTCCGCAAAAGGAGCCTCCCTGTGCGCCCGGGCGGGATGCGCATCTATTTCCCAGGAATTATCTTCCCTTCCCACGGGCTGGGATAAGCAGGATGGAGAAATGAGCGAGTTCCGTGTTGGTATTTCTGCCACAAGCGCAGTTTGTACAAGGCTAGCAGGGGAGAGGATTCAGAGGAGTTTGGTTTATATAATTTTTTTTTTCCTAATTTTTCTACAATTCACCCATTCCCCCCTGATCCCGGGATTTCGGTCTCTGCGGAGCGAGACGCTCACATCCCCCTCCGCGCCTCCCGGAGGTAAAACAAACAAACAGGAGGATCCTTGGAAGATGCGCGGAGCTGTGCGGAGCGGAGCTGCCCTGTCCTGCCCAGGGCTGAGCGGCTCCTTTAGGCTCCCGTTCGGGTGAAAATCACCCCCTGAACCCCCGCAAAGGGATTTTTTCCCGGGGGGACACTCCCCCAGGTGCTGCTGGAAGCGGTCCGGGACCTCCCATCTCCCACAGGTGCGGGGCTGGGAGCTTGGTGGGGCGGGCGAGGGGAGCCTCCCTCCCCCAAAAACTGCGGGACGCCCACCGGGATCACTGCTAAAAGCAACACAAGTCTGTATTTTTTAATAAAGAGCGTTCTCGGGCGAGCTGGCTCTGCAAACACTGCGGAGAAGATTAACACTGCTGCTCTAAGCTCACAGCCTGGCGAGAGCTCTGCCGCTGCTCATCTCTGCGCTCCATAAGTGCCCTTCGCTTTTAGGGGTGACAACACCCCCAGAGGGGTCCCATTCATCACCAGCCCTGCCCTGCCGGCGCTCTGAGTCTGCCCCCGGTTCCTCTCCATCCTCATCTCTCCCCTCCCTGGGAGGCAGCGATGCTTTGGATGTCCCCCCGCTCCTTCTCCATCACCATCTCTCCCTGTCTGGCGCTCTGGTGTCCCCCCACGTCTTCTCTGTCACCATCTGTCCCTGACCAGGGTTCTCGGGGTCTTCCCAGTCCCCCACCATCCCCATTTCTCCCTGCCAAGGGTTCTGGTGTCCCCCCACTTCTTCTCTGTCACCATCTGTCCCTGCCCAGGGTTCTGGTGTCCCCCCCACTCCTTCTCCATCTCCATTTCTCCTTGCCCGGGGTTTTGGATGTCCCCCCACTCCTTCTCCATCACCATCTCTCCCTGTCTGGGGCTCTGGTGTTCCCCCACTTCTTCTCTGTCACCATCTGTACCTGCCCAGGGTTCTGGCTGTCCCCCCACTCCCTCTCCATCCTCATATTTCCCTTTCCGGGGCTCTGGGTGTGTCCCTCCAGTCCCCCTCCATCACCATCCCTCCCTGCCCAGGGTTCTGGTGTCCCCCCACTCCTTCTCCATCTCCATTTCTCCCTGCCCGGGGTTTTGGATGTCCCCCCCAGTCCCTCTCCATCCCATCTCTCCCTGTCCGTGTTTCTGGTGTCCCCCCACTCCTCCATCCCCATCTCTCCCGTGACTGAGCGTTACAGAGGACTCTGGGTGTCCTCCCAGCGGAAGCAGCGGCTTCAAAAAACCCTCTAATTTTAAATTATATTTTTTATTATTACTATCATGATGAAATCTTTAATTTGGCGGCCGAGAAGAGCTGGGAAGCAATGTCAGAGCGAGCTGCCAGCACGGTTTTCCAGCGGCCCCTTGGCAGGAGCGCCTTTCCCACCTCCCGCAGCCCGGCCGGGGAGAACCGGCAGCGCTGCTCGGCTTTTAGGGAAACTCTGGGAATGGAAAAGGAGCAGGAAAACCGGCAATGGCGAGGTCATTTGGCCAGAATTCCATAAACGCACCAATCCCGGGGGAAGAGGAGCCGGGGGATGGGCCGGGACTGGGATTGGGAGGGGGGAGATGCTTGGGTTTGTTCTTTTGCCAAAACAGCACCAGGCTGGGGAGGGGGAATGAGGAGAAAATCTGGGATAAAAGAGGGGAGGCAGAATTGAGTGGCCCGGCCCGGGGAGAGCCCAGAGGAGCCGCGGAGTCACCGCTCCGCCCTCCATCCCTCACCGGCACCCCCCGCGCTCCCCGCTCAGCCCCAGAGAGGGCAGAGAGCTGGAAAATTAAAATAAATAAATAAAAAAAAGGAGGGATGCGGGAGAAAAGGGAAATTAGGTAAATAAACTACAGAAAAAAAAAAGAGAAAGGAAATGTATTTTGGAAAGAAAAGGTAAGGAGAGCGATGGGGAGGGGAGAGGAGAGGAGAGGAGAGGAGAGGAGAGGAGAGGAGAGGAGAGGAGAGGAGAGGAGAGGAGAGGAGAGGAGAGGAGAGGAGAGGAGAGGAGAGGAGAGGAGAGGAGAGGAGAGGAGAGGAGAGGAGAGGAGAGAGAGGAGAGGAGAGGAGAGGAGAGGAGAGGAGAGGAGAGGAGAGGAGAGGAGAGGAGAGGAGAGGAGAGGAGAGGAGAGGAGAGGAGAGGAGAGGAGAGGAGAGGAGAGGAGAGGAGAGGAGAGGAGAGGAGAGGAGAGGAGAGGAGAGGAGAGGAGAGGAGAGGAGAGGAGAGGAGAGGAGAGGAGAGGAGAGGAGAGGAGAGGAGAGGAGAGGAGAGGAGAGGAGAGGAGAGGAGAGGAGAGGAGAGGAGAGGAGAGGAGGCAGAAGAGATCTTTTTTCCATTAAAAATGAAAATAAAATAAGAATAAATAAAGAAAAAAAAAAAAAAAAACCAAAAAAAACGACTCAGCTTCCCCCGCCCCCCTCCCAACAAGACCTGTACACAGTAAAGCTTTTCCTCGGATAAGGATTTCCCCCTGCATCGTTTTCGCCTCTGGGTCCCTTTTGGTAAATCCCTGTAAATGATGATAGGTTTGGGATTTTCCCCCTGCTTTCCCTTGCCCTGTTCTAGTGGCATGAGCTCGCTTGGGGATGCTGGTTTGACTCGCTTTGCCCTCAATCCCTGTGACAGCGACACCGGGGCGTTTCAAAACGACATAAAATCGGAATAAACCAGCAAATCGGAGTGAGAGCGCCCGGGAAAGTGTCAGACAAAACCCGCTGGAGCCAGAGTGGGCTTCACCTTTATGAGATTCAACAAATTGCTGCTATGGACACTTTGGAGCCCTCTGAAATCCCTTCATTAGCTGCTTGATGCATTTGACATCCGAGCTCATTGTACCCCCGAGGCGCCCAAAAGCTTGGAAATCGAGTTTTATTAACCTAATAAAACGCACGCACGCAAAATTCGGGGGAAAACTCAAGAATCGAGAAAGCCTAAATAAATCCTCTGACTAGGTGCTGGAGGTTTTTCAAGGCTCTTTGAAACGGGGAGGAAACAAATTATTTACTTGTCAAAATTGGATTTTTTTTTCAGACGGTTAGTCCTCCAGCGGGATTTCTTTATAAAAGAAACCGAGCTTTCATTTGCGCTTAAAACTGACAGGCTGCCTTCGTCCCCATCCTCCTGCTGTATTTTCCCTCTTCTTTGGTTCCTGCATTATGCAATAACTCAGTCATTTTTTTTTAGGAACAAAGGGGAAATATAATGAGAAACATTACAGCGGCAGCGCGCGTTTGCTGCCCGCTAGCAGAGCGCTTTGCGTGTAATATATATATATTTTATTTCCAGCCAAAACTAACGATCCCAACGTCCTACGTGATGGGAAGGGACGCGATTACAATGTGGCCATTGTGCGCCGGCATGAGGAGATTTTTCTGTGCCTTAAGCATCACCTGGGAGGAGGTTCCTTTGCAGGGAGCATCCCTCCTCCGGCAGCAGCAGGGACACGGCTGCAGAGCCTTTCCCCTCCTTTTCTTCTGTGTAAAAGAATAAAAAGAAAAAAAATAATAATAAAAAAATCACCTTCGTGGTCGCTTTGACCCAGAAATCCGAACAAACTCCCAAAGGCGGCTGAAATTCAGCTGAAGCCGCGCGGTGATTTTAGAGCCCGGGGCAAACTTTGCTCGCTTAGAGCAGCGTTTGGAGTGAGCAAAACACTTTTGTTTTTTTCCTGTAAATCATGTTTTTTTAAACCAAAAACTCCTTTTCGGGGCCGTTTGGGGCATGACTGTAAAATCGGGCTACCTAGCCCAGATCAGCGGGGCTGTTGTCACCCAGGCACGAGTGCCACCAAGGCGGGGCATTAGCAGTTGGTAAATAAGTTAAATAAGTGTGCAGGCTGTAAAGTGAAGTTGTATCCTTTAGATAAGGGCTTATCTACACACCATTAAACCCACACTCACCTCCTTAGCTGGGGCTGTCAGCTCCCAGAGGGAAATATTTATTTAGTCCCTTTTGGAATGGGAGGATTTACTCCCGATTTGATGTGCCAGGAGAAACCTTTTCCTTGTTTTTGTTTGGTGGGTTGTAATTCTGTGGATTAAAATCCTTAAAATCTTGCTGTTTGCCTGCAAAGCAAATAAAAGATAATCTGGGTGGAGTGACTGAGGTTTTAACATCCATTTTTAATACACCTGGGTGTCTTTTCTGTCATTTCTTCTCAGTGAAGTTTATCTTTTGATCACGTACACAGGCTCTCCATAAAAGTAAGATTATGTATATTAAAAAAAATACATGTAAAATAGGAGCCAATCCTTTTAGCTGTTACCGAGGTTGGAATATGCTGAGTCAGGGCTGTGTGGTCCAGCTAAATTCAAGTTAAATTCAGCAGCAAGTCCCCCTTGGCCCCGGAGATGGTCACAGCGAGGAAGGAGCTGGGACAGCCCCTCAGAACTGGCACTGCTTGTCAAATCCACGGTGTGAGGCTGGAT